GCCCATAGTCATATCTGCCTGACAGCCAGGTTGAGAGATGCTCACAGCTGGCTCCCCCAAAGCCAGCAAAAAATTGTAGACAGGAGGGAGTTGGGGTCACTCAGTTAAGATGAACAGACCCGACACCTCTGTCCCAAGGGGGTCACTGCAGCCCAACTTGGCACCGTGCTCTTCAGTGGAGCAAGATCTGAATATTGGGGTGTAGAAGGGGAGGAGAGGCTGTCTGGAAGACAAATGTGGAGGACACTTCAGAGACACCCCAGGACATGGGCCCTCACTTTCAGAGCCAACATCTTGCAGCCTTTGGGGAACCACATTTGGGGATCCCACCTTTCCTCACTCCAGGTTTCTGGATTTTTTTGTTTTTAATATCTGGGCTCAAAACACCACATTTAACCCACTGTTGTTTCATGCTCCATTCTTTGGGATCCTACTGCTCTGAATTTGGTGAACTTGACCCTCTGCTTTCTTGTCCTCTCCTGAGGAGCTAATCTTCCCACTCCCCCATCCCCAGACTCAAATCTGGAGCCAGCAAGCTTATCTCTGGTCTTCCCAGGACAGCCCAAGAGAGAGGGATTTTCCAGTGGCAGAATCTCATTTGCAGGGGATAAGACAGATTTTAATTCCAGAATTGCCCACATGAAATACCAGAGACCTGTCACATAGTTGATAGAACCCAGTCTTTTTAATTTTATTAGCTCAGAAACATCTTGTTGAATCTAAATGAAGTGCAAATTAGGGAACCGTAATGGGAGGCATTATACTTAATGACGTGTTGCCTGAATTGGTGGCGGCTGGTGTGAATAAGGGGCCTGGGGGACGAGGTGGGGGGTGGGGGCTGGTGAGGAAAGCTGCTGGGGGCCCAACTCCGGAGGGCCTGGAAGTGATTCTGGGCTTAACTGCCGTCTGATTCGTTATTTCCTACCTTCTGGCGAGCAAAGGGAGCCTAGGCTTGGTCTGTAGGTGCAGAGTGCTGGGGAGCTGGGTGGCGTCTCAGTGGTTAGAGCTGCAGGTGGTGAAGGGTCTTACTTTCCTGAGATCCTGGCTGGGCCATGACGCTGACCTCATGCTGAACCTGTCCCAGTCCCAGCCTGAGCCCCACACAGACTCTAGAGCAGTGATTTTCAATGGGGGTTCAGGTGGGGTAATATGGTTCCCCTACGGGACGTTTGGCGATGTCTGGAGTCATTTTTGGTTGTCATGATGGGGTGGGGTGCTATTGGCATCTAGCGATTAGAGGGCAGGGATGCTGCTGAACATTGTACGATGCAGAAGAGAGCCCCCCCCCCCCCGCCACCACCACCACCACGTGGAATTATCTAGCAAAAAAAAGATGTTAGTAGTGCAGAGGTTGAGCAACGTGTTGTAGTTTGAACCCTGTCCCTGATTCTGACTGAGCCCTGACCCTGAACTCAAGCTGAGCCCTGACCTTGATCCGGACTGACCCCCACTGAACCCTAATGTCGGATTAGGGATGGGATGGGATACTCAGCTTCTGCCCCTTGCCAGGACTGATTCCGCTCTATAACCGTGCTTCCTGAGTTAGGTCTCGCCATGGCCAGAGGCTTAGGGAGAGGAGTGGCCTTCCACAGCTGGTGAATCACTGAGCCAGGGTCTGCCCTCAGGCAGGGCTGAACCCTGAGCCCAGCCTTAACACCTGGCCAGGGTGGAGCTGCAGGGATGAGGGCAGCTGGAGAGCTCTTCTTCCAGAGTGGAGGGTTGGGGGGAAGGCATGTGCAGTCTCAAGTGAGGCCCAAGGAATCTGTGGAAGCCCAAGGGGCATACCTGGTGCTGGGAGGGGTGGTCCCCTGGGGCAGCACGGGAGAGCCTGCCAGCTTGATGGGTTGTCCCTTGTCTTTGCCCAGCTCAGTCTGGTGCTGAGAAAGGACCTGGAGGAGTGTGAAAAAAAAATAACCTGGTCCAGGGAGCCTGCAACATGGGGTGGCATGGGCAAGGGGCCTGGGGTTAGGTCCTGGCTTTTTGCAGAAGTTGCCTTGGCTAAGGACTTGGCCTCTCTGTGTTGCAAATTTTCTCCTCTGTCAAGTGGAAGTGATGATAGCATCTGCCTCCCACCAGGGCTGCTGTGACAAGTGCACGAGATAGAAGGGGATAGTGTGGATGGTTGGTGCATGACGCATTTAGCCCCCTTCCCCTCACCTATCAGGGCATAGAGGAGAACCAGACTATGAACAGGGCCCAAGACAAGGGGGTGCTGAGGGGAAGCATGGGCTCTGGGATTCTCCCAGAGCAGGTAACCTGAAACCTTCCAGCTTCAAACTCCTTTGAGATGCATAGATGAATTCACAGGAAATGAAGAGGGCTAGCAGCAGAGGAGATAAGCATGGTCTGTATAACGGCTTCTAATTTTGTACTGGGTGTCTGGCCAGTGCAAAAAGGCAAATAACATAAAAAAGTATGAAGCTTAGAAAGTAAGAAATAAAATTGTCACTTTTCACAGATGACAGAAAATCCTAAAGATCTTACAGATAAACTATTAGAATTAATATGGGGATTTTAAAGGTCAGAATACAACATCAACTGTATTATTACATACCAGCAACAAATGATTAGAAAATTAAATTTGAAAAGTGATCCAATTTACAATAAAATTAAAAAACACTAAAGATATCTAGGAATATATTTAAAGAAAGATGTACAAGATTTTTGCCCATGAAAGTATATAACATTCTTGGTAGAGATTAAAGAAGACAAAAATAAATGAAAGACTAGACCATGTTCATTCATTGGAAGACCCAGTATTATAAAGATGTCACCTGTCCACAGATTAATCTATAAATTCTATACATTCCTAATCAAAAAACAAAGAGAAAACTGAAAAACAGTAGGATGAGTGCCGGCTGATGCTGAGACTTCCTTTTTGGGGTGGTAGCAGAAATGAGGGTGTTAGCTGGCCTGGTAACCAAGGGCTTGGGTTTTGATAGCTTAAGGATACAGGAGATGATGCCCCTCATCCCTTCCCTAGTTGGAATTCACACCCCAGCGGAAAGCCAAGACCTTTAAAAAGATATACCCTCAGTGAAAGTGGGGATTTAGAAAAAATCCACACATCTACCAAAGAGATAGCATGTCTGTCTCAACTAGGTCTTGGGTGGTCTCCTTTGACAATTTGTGATCTGAGATGTGCCCCTTGTTTCTGTTGGAGGTTGCATTTCATAGTACACCCCTGATTCCAGAATCCTTGAACCAGGGTGTGGGTAATGATGCCTTGGCAGGCACTGAGGGGAAGGAATTGCAAATTCTCTCTGGACCCTGGAGGGACTGGCTTGCAACCAGGCTGAATAAGAGTCCCACAGATAAAGCCCCACCAAAGATGAGCTCACAGTCCAACAATTACCAAACTCAGGAAGAAATAGTTCCCTGGGAGGGAGAGTCATCAAATGTCCCAAATAGCAGAAACAGCTCTCAAGAGTCTGAGAAATAGAAGACTGAATAACAGATGAACACTGAAAAGATTTAAAATTATTAGAGACCTATAAGACACAATGGAAAAGGACAGGACAACATATGAAAGCAGAATGAGGATATAAGCAAAAGGACCAAACAAAGCTTTCCAAAACCAAAAATGTACTCATTGAAATTAAAAACTCATTGGAATTAGGAAAATTTGAATATGGAGTGGGTATTAAATTAATAATTAAGGAATCATTTTAATTTTATAAGGTGTAATAATGGTATTTTTGCTGGATAAGAAATATGTTCCTATTTTTTTAATGCATACTGAAATATTTAGAGGAGTAATTTCCTCATTTCTGGGGTTTGTTTTAAAATATTTCAATATAGAGGGAAACCTGGGTGGCTCAGTGGGTCAAGCGACCAACTCTTGGTTTCTGCTCAGGACATGATCTCAGGGTCATGAGATGGAGCCCTGCCTTGGGCTCTGGGCTTACCCTAGAGTCTGCTTGAGATTCTCTCTCCTCCTCTGTCTGCCCCTCCCCCCCTCTCTCTCTCTCTCTCTCTCTCTCTCTCTCTCTCTCACACACACACACACACACACACACACTCTCTCTCTCTCTCTCTCTCTCTCGCAAATAAATAAATACATCTTTAAAAAATAATAAATGTGGGGCACCTGGGTGGCTCAATCATTAAGCATCTGCCTTCAGGTCAGGTCATGATCCCATAGTTCTGGGATCAAGCCCCGCATCAAACTCCCTGCTCTGCGGGAAGCCTGCTTCTCCCTCTCCCACTCCCCCTGCTTGTGTTCCCTCTCTCACTGTGTCTCTGTCAAGTGAATAAATAAAATCTTAAAAAAAAAAAAAAAGTACCCTAACTAACGTCGCCAAATGCTGGCAAGAATGTGAAACAGTCGGACCCGCTTGGCAGTTTTTAACAAAGTTAACCTCATTCTTACCATATGTCCCAGAATCCCACTCCTGGATATTTACCCAGGTGGGATGGAATGTGATGTTCAAATCAAAACTTGTATGTAGATATTTATTATGGCTTCCTGAGAGATCACCCCAAGCTGGAAAGAGTGGAAATGTCTTTCAGCTGGCGTATGGCTAACCACACAGTACATTTTCCCCGCCATTGAACACCAGTCAGCAATAAAAAGCAACAGACTACTGATCCATGAAAAACATGTGTGAATCTCAAATGATGCTAAATAAGACACTAGACTCCGAAGCCCACACACTGTAGGATTCTATTTATATGGCATTCTAGGGAAGCTAGAATTATATAGAGAGAAAACAGACCAGTGGTAGTTGGGAGGTGAGGGGTGCAGGGGGAGGGCACAGGGACTGGCTATAGAGGGGCAGCAAGGGAGAATTTGGGGGGTGATGGAAATGTCCTAAATCCTGATTGTGGTGGTAGTCAAGACACATTTCCCAAAACCCAGAGAAAAGCATGCCACAAAGAATTGATTTGGATGTCTATGATAAACAGATGAAAATATAAATTGGGGTAATGCACTAAAACACACACCCATGCAGACTGCTGAATCCCACTATCCGAGTTTCTAATTTACTCTGTGCTAGGTGGGGCCCGAGAATTTGCATTTCTGACGAGTGCCCAGGTGATGCTGGTAGGGCTGGGCTAGGGACCCTCCTTTGAGAACCTCTGCGTTGTACTAGTCTATTTTCCAAATGTTTGAAATCTATGAAAAATTTCTCCAAACATTAAAAAGGCAGATGTTACTATAGATGAGACATCCCTGAGAGATACTAAAGTAGGAAATGTGATGGAGAGAGGTGATGGATCGTGGGAGAGAAAAACGCAGTCCCAAGGAATATCCTTTAAGCATTTCCTAAGAAAGAGGGGAAGAAAACAACACTTGAAAAATAACAGGGAAGTGTTTTCTAGAATTAAAGGAGACAGACTTATCTCTGGCTGCCTAGAGTGTCTGAGACTATGATTTGCAGACCCTCAAGTGCGGTCCTCAAGAAGACGTGTTAATTGGGTCCATTCAAGATTGAGTTTGCTCATGGTCGGCACTGTCTCTCCTGTGTGGAGGTGCCCGCGTGTGAGTGAGCTGCCAGTCCCAGCAGGTGTGCAAGCACAGTCCTGGGTGGTGGAGTCTGCAGACCCACAGTCTAATCCAAATTGCCCAGCTCCCCAGCGGTGTGCCTGGGGGCCTGCGTTGTCCTGCTGGGATCCTGAGCTCCTGTATCTGTATGGTGGAATAATCTTGTCCATAATTAATGTTATGGGGATGTTAACCACAGAACGGCTGGGAAGCTCCCTGTATAGCATTGCTGTTCAGAAGGTTGTTCAGTCCAAGGGCAGAGATGGAGCCTCTGGGTTGTTGGGGGGGGCACCATGAGGGTGCCCCAGCAGAGACTTGGTGAGAGCAGAGAGCTGGTGGCAGGAAGGAACCCCCTCTTCCAGGCCACATCCACGAAGCAGAAGAGTCCCAAGGCTGAAAGCGTTCTCCTGCACGGAAATGAAAGTGCAACTCGGGACTTTTTCTCTTTCTTGCCTGCAGACGACGGGCCTTACTCCAAAGGAGGCAAGGATGCAGGAGGGACCGATGTGGCCCTGGCCTGCCGCAGACAGAGCATTCCAGGTAATGAGCCTCCCTCTTTGTCCTGGAGGCATGGAGAGCTCAGGGTCAGGGTCAGATGGCATTGGCTCTGCTGCTAACTCGCTCTGTGACCTTAGACCAGTCCCTCAACCTCTCTGATCCTTGATGTAAAAAGGAGATGATCTTACCCAGAATTTTGCAGCCAGACGCCCCATTTACCAAGTGTCGGTCTCACTTGTACTGGAGCTGGGGGTCTGGAATTGCTCCGTGCTGCCCGCTCACCCCCTCATCTGTTGACAGAGGAGTTCCGTGGGGTCACCATGGTGGAGCTGATCAAGAAGGAAGGCAGCACACTGGGCCTGACCATCTCAGGTGGCACGGACAAGGATGGGAAGCCCAGGGTCTCCAACCTGAGACCCGGGGGGCTCGCTGCCAGGTGAGGACGGGACTTGGCGGGGTAGTGGGAAGGGGCCAGAGGCCAGTGGAATATGTACCAGAGTTACAGGCAAAGCGATCAGGCAGGTTTTTCTAGGAGCAGCCAAATGCTTCTCAGAGCAAAGCCTCCAAGGCAGGCTGTAATTCTAGACCGCAGTTACTTCTCTTCTCTTTACACAAGGGGCTTACTCGGCCATAGAATCCCACTCTTGCCAGGCCCTCCAGGGCTTTGCACGTGCAGTTACCTTCTTGGAAGTTCTGTTCCCCACTGGCAGACTCCTGCTCACCTCTCGGTTACTGCTTCTTGGAGGCCCCCCATCCCAGGGCAAGGCAGCTGCCCTGCTCTGCTCACACGGCCCTGGGTGCCACTTTTGGACACATTGCTCTGGATTTTCCTGTCCTCTTCCCTGTGTCGCTCCCTTGGACCATGAGCTCCATAGACCTAGGGCTTGGCCTGTCTGGGCCTGTCTGGGCCTCGTACAGAGCAGATGCTGGTAAGTGTCCAGTGGAACAGAATGTATTAGCCGTCAGAACCCAGGGTGAGTGCTTAAGAACTAGCAAAGAGGGAGATGATCTGGCCACTCTGCAGGCTCCTCAGGGTTGGTCAGAACCTTCCTCAGGAGGGCTGATTCCCCCCAGCAGGGGACAATGCCAGGGCTGGGTATCAGACAGGTCTAGGTTAGAATTCAGGCTCTCTTACTAACATGCTGTGTGACCCTGGACAAGGTCTGACCTCTCTGAGCCACAGCTTCAGATCATAAGGGATTCAGAGATCATAAGGATTCAACAGAAGACGGGGTGTGAGTGCTGGCACCTGTCACCATGCATGTGTTCTGGCCTCCTTGCTCCCAGGAGTGACCTGCTGAACGTGGGCGACTATATTCGGTCAGTGAATGGGATCCATCTGACCAGGCTCCGCCATGATGAGATCATCACCCTGCTCAAGAATGTGGGCGAGCGCGTGGTGCTGGAGGTGGAGTATGAGCTGCCCCCGCCCGGTGGGTGCCCTTGGACGGGGAACTTTCTCCACTGCCTCAGTCGTGGGTAGACACAGCTATCTCCCCACCAGCACCTGGGTGGTGGGGACCAAGCCAGCTGGGGACCAGAGTGGGTGGGACCTGAAGATTGGCCACAGACATCTAAGTTGCCTACAACTGCAGTATGCTGTCACCAGGAGGTGGCAGGGCCCTGTTTATAAACCAGTGTCATTTTGTATATTTAGTGTTCAGATGCTTTTCCTTAAGGGGGGAAGGTTTGGGGAATGTTGGCTAAAAAAATTGTTCCCTGTTCTACTGCACTCTCCATCCTACCAGCCTGCATTGAGTACAGTGGCCTAGGGTTTAGCCTACCTCTGAATTTTCAAAGTTGGTCGAAAGTCTTAAGATTTGAATAACTAGAATTCAACCCTGGCCTGAGCCCATAGCCATGGATTCAAGTCTGAGTTCAGCAGAACTCTTGAAGTCTTACTTGTCCTACCTGTAAATGGGCAGAGGTCGGGGGAGTTTACCCTCCCTGTAAAGCTCTCCTGAAATGAGCTTTGGGGATGTCTGTGGCTTGGTCATGTGACTGAGGGACTCAAAGGAGCCCTCCCTTTCTCTCTAGCCCCTGAGAACAGCCCAGGGATCATCACAAAGACCGTGGACGTCTCCCTGTACAAGGAGGGCAATAGCTTTGGCTTTGTCCTCAGAGGTCAGTCTAAGAGTCACACTTGGGGGTCAAGGGGCAGGAAGGAGGCTAATGTTGATTCCACACGTGTTCTGTTTTGCTTTAGTAAGGTTATAGATACAGATATATAGTACATGGATAGATAGATTAATAGATAGATGGCTTCTGACTTTAAAGAACCGAGGACCGTTAAGTCAAATGTTAAATGGAAAAATTTGTCAAGCAATGATATGTGCATGATTGCTGGGAGTGAGATTGAGAACAAAGTTTGGAGCTGCCTTGGAACCAGGGCAAAGAGGGGAATAAGATGAGGTCATAGGAAGAGAAGCAAATAATTTAAGAGAGAGCGAGGATTTCGGTCATGTCACTACTTTCTGTCCTCCTCTGTGGGGATTTATAGTTGGAATCTTGTAAGAGGGCCTGTGAATTGCAAGGACAGGACCTCAAACAGATTTAATGAAGGGAGCCGGCTTAGGGGCTGAGTCTAGGCCTCTAGGTATTGAGGTAGGTAGATGACTGCCACCTCCTGTTGAATTCTGTCCAGGGGGTGCCCATGAAGACCTACACAAGACCCGTCCGCTCGTCCTGACCTACGTCCGGCCCGGCGGCCCCGCTGACAGGTGAGCCTGAGTCGGAGGGAGCCTTTCCTTGCCCTGGCTATGCCCAGATCCCCCATGAAGAAGGCAGACTAGAAGCCATTGTGCCCATTCTCCAGATGAGCAAACTGAGGCCCAGAGAGATGCTGCCCCTTGCTACAGAGTCACTCGGGATTGTTGGTGGAGCCAGGACTCCATCCCAAATGACAGAGAGACCAAGCTCTTTCCTTCCTGGCGTGCTCCTGTCTCAGGGGTGGGGAGGGAAGCGAACCTTGGCGTTATGGTGTTCTTCCCTTTCCTGGCTTTTCGTTTCCCCCATCTGTGGAATGGGGCTGATACTGCAGCCCCTGGGAGTTGCCTTGAGAGATTTTGGGGCACCGTGAGCAGCACCACTGTGGCCTCTGTCGTGCACCCTCTGGGTTGTGGCCATGTCACCCTGCCCGTGGCTCAGCCTAGAAGGGCCAGGCGGGCAGGGCCAGGAGGAGAGAACGTGGGAGAGGAACACGCCCAGTTTCCAGCACCCGACCCCCTGACCTCCCCAGTGGGAGATTCTTGGCCATTTTAAGAGAAGCCTGGAACAGCCTTGTCAGAAGTCTAAACCCGTTCTTGGGACGGGGCCTTGTGACAAGCTATTCATAGTACCTCCCAGAATAGCTTTGGCCACCTGTTGGGACAAGCATTCCAGGGTGGGGATTTGACCCAAACCGAGGTGAACCCCAGCTTGGGCCCTTCTCCTGGGGGCCCCTGCCAAATTCGTTCCTAGGCGCATTTGTCACCAGGCTAGAATCGCTGCTGAGAAACCAGAGTGGGGGCAGGGAGAAGGGACCTGAGGATGAGCACCTCGAAGCCTCCAGGCCGCCCCACCCCTGATGCTGTGGGGCCCTGGCAATCTCCTGTATCCCTGGGGCATCCCGCGCAGGGGTTGAGCCAGGGCTCTGGACACATTAAGCACCAAGCAGGGTCGAACATGTCAGAGTTGGTCCCAGCTCTCTTTACATCCCTGCCTCATGGGTGCAGCTGCTCCCCTAGAGCCTCCCCCATGCGTTCCCCCACTGTGCCATCGCTTCCTCCTTCACCTGCTGCCTGGCCCCCGAGACCCCTCCTTTCCCAGCGGCCTCTTGGCCTGTCAGCGCTCGTATGCAGCTGGGCTGGCTGACCGGGCCCTTCCCTGCAGGGAGGGCTCCTTGAAGGTGGGGGACAGGCTGCTCAGCGTTGATGGGATCCCGCTGCATGGGGCCAGCCATGCTTCTGCCCTTGCCACACTGCGGCAATGCAGCCACGAGGCGCTCTTCCAGGTGGAGTATGATGTGGTCATCCCAGGTGAGTCTGGGGCCTGAGGACTCGGGTTGGGGCAGGACGAGACCCAGGGGTTGAGGGGAGGGGTAGCAGGCGTAGATCCTCAAAACATCAAAGGCGGTGTGACCTTGGGCCAGTCACCCAGCCTCTCTGCACCTCTCTGGGCAATAAACGCTATGTGCCAGGCATTGTTGGAGGCCCCAGGGATTCAGGTGAGAGCGACACAGATGAGGTCTCAGTTCTCATGGAGCTCATGGGGAGAGAGGGACAGTAAACAGAATAAATCAAATACAGAGGATGTCCGATGGCAGTAAGTTCTGTTGGAACAAAAAAATCAGGGAGGGACGGGAAAGGCTGGGGAAGAGAGAGGAGCTTGTGGCCCGACCAGGCTGGTTGCCGAGGAAGCATAGAAGGGTCACATTGAGGAAATGTGAAAGTCGAATGGGTCTGATTTGCTGACGTTTGGACCTGGTGGCAGGGGTTGGGGGTTGGGGGCAGGTGAGAGCAGAAGGAGCTAGATTTTGCTCTCAAGCCACTGGGTGGGTTCCTGGGGGTGTCCTTTCTGAGTCCAGAAAGGTGGTTGTGAACACACAGCTCGGGGCCGGTGAACTGCAGGCCCTCCATAACTGTGAGCACCTTAGTGTCGTCCGGCAGAGCCCTGGGGTCAAGAGTCCCTCAGAGTCGAATCCCTGTCCCACCTTGGCTGCTGAGGGCTTGTGTGAACTTGGACAAGGCCTTTGCCTCCACATGCATCAGTTTTCTGATCTGTGAAATGGATGCAGTAATCCCTACCCAGCAGTGAGGATTACACCGAGACTGCAGAGTGAGGCTGGGAAGGCAGGTGCTCAGTATTTGCATTTCAAACTCTTCTTTCCTTCCTGGTGCCAGATACTGTGGCCAGTGCTTCGGGGCCCTTGATAGTGGAGATAACCAAGACGCCTGGGTCAGCCCTGGGGATCTCACTCACCACTGGCTCCCACCGGAACAAGCCAGTCATCACCATTGACCGCATCAAGCCGGCCAGCGTGGTGGACAGGTGAGGCACATACTGGGGGCCGCCACCATAGGGGTCTGGGATGCAGGGGGAGAGACTGTGGTCCAGAGCGCCCTTGGGCCGGACCAGCCTCCCCCTTCCCTCTCCCGCCTGGCCAGGAGTGGGGCCCTGCATGCCGGAGACCACATCCTGTCCATCGACGGTACCAGCACGGAACACTGCTCCCTGCTTGAGGCCACCAAGCTCCTGGCCAGTGTGGTGGAGAGAGTGCGGCTGGAGATCCTGCCTGCACCCCAAAGTCGGCGGCCCCTGAAGCCCTCAGAGGCAGGTGGGTCCCTGTGGAGGGTCTCCAGACCCAAACCTGACAGCTGATGGGGAAGGGTGCACGAGGTCCCAGATGCCTGGGCAGGCTACAATGTACTGAAGCAAATGTCCATTCCTGTTGGGAAGCTCAGGTGGTCAAGGGCAGCAGCTGAGGGAGGGGGGAGGGGGAGCAGAAGAACACCCTGAATGTTTGAGTTGACAGTCCACCGGCTTGGGTGGCCCAAAGCAAGTTCCATCACTCTTGCCTAAGTTAATAGGAATATAAGGGCTAGCCTGAGGGAGAGGACAGTCCTTCTGTGCTCTGTGCTGCTCAGATCTTAGATCTGGGGCTCAACACTGGGGTCCTCGGAAGGTCCAGAGGAGATAGCCAGTGAGTCAGGAGGGTCTAGAGTCCCCCCTAACTTTTGAGGAATTGGGTCTCCAGACTGGAGCAGGGAGCTGGGGGCTAGGCACTCCAAGGGCAGAGGAAGCCGGTGGTCTAAGAGACCAAAGGGCTGAGCTGAACCCAGGGCAGGGTGGTCACAAGGAGGCAGCTTCGCACTCAGAGCCTGGAAGTGCCTCCACCATTCCAAACCTTGGGCTTTGGGTACCAGTGCCAGCACTGCTCCAGCGGAACAGGTGTTTTATGTCTCTGAGCCTCAGTTGTCTCATCTGTAGGTGGGAGCGCAGGCTTGGGAGGGGTCAAACAAGGTAGAGGGGCACAGTCCAGTACTGTGGTCTGGGAGGTCAGGCTGTGAATTCCAGGCCTCAGGACACAGTGTGTGGGCAAGGATGGAGTCGGCCAACCCCATCCTTCACAAGCCTAATTGATCATCTGGGATAGAAAGAAATACCCCAAATAAAATATGGGGAGATAGGCGGTGGGGAGGGTCCATTTCTGTGGCTCTGTGCAGACACATCTCTGCCAGGGTCTGCAAAGGCCCCATGAAGCCTCAGTGAGAGCCGCTACTGGAGGCTTTGGGGCTTGAACCAGAGTGACTCATTCCCACTCCATTTACGACGTACCTGCTGTGGGCTGGGCTCAGCGCTGGGGCTTCCCGTGGGTCATCTTTTTTCCTCCTGTGACAAGTCTGTGAGGGCGGTAGTGCTGTTATCCCACTTTACAAAGGCTGCTGATGCTCAGAGAACCACAGGGCACAGGGCTGCCAGCATCCCTCCTGGCCCTCATTAACTGGGCCTCAGCTACATGCCAGGCACTGCTCGAGGCACATCCTACGTCTTAACTCACTCAGATCCTTCCCATTATCCGGGGAGGCAGCCACTCTCTTAGTCCCATTATACAGATCATGACAGTGAGGCACAGAGTTGCCAAAGTGACTTATCTCAGGGACCTGGCAGCTGGCCCGCGGGTTGGCCACGCCCCTGTGTGAGGATTGGAGACGCTGCACAGGGGGCGGAGTCAATTGGATACCCTGCACCAGGCTGGACCACAGCCCCCTCCAAGCCCCGAAATGGAAGGAAGAGCTAAGAAAGACAGAACCTGGGGAGTCTGGGAGGAGGTGTTGCACGGCAGGTGGCTTGGAGGATCAGGTGGGGCAGGTGGGAGAGGCACGATTTCTGGGGTCCTCTGGGAAGTGGATGGAGAAGGAGCACGGAGAATTCATCTGGGGGGAAGCTGTGTGAAAGTTTGGAGAGGAAGAAGCCAGAGCAGCCTGTCTGAAGCATAGGTCTGAGCCAAACTTGGCCGACCCCACAGGGGCCCTGGGGCACAGGTTGTCCCTGAGAGCCCAGCAGGGGGCAGAAATGGCACAGCCCAGTGCCCGCGGCTGCTCAGTCCTTGGCCCCTGTGGCCAAGGCTGCCCAGGCCACAGCACCACAGGAGATCCTGAAGGTGCAGGGGCCTGATGCCGTCTGCCAGCTGCACTGCTCGAAGCTGATGGTCCAGGTCTCAGGCTGGGGCCGCTTTCTCTCCCATCCCTGCTGCTGCTTGGCTGGGTGCTGAGCACGGTGCCTGGCACATTGTGGGCATCTGGGACTGCGAGCAGCGTCTGAATGCCTGGCTTGGCTTGGCTTGGGGGAAACTCAGGCTGTCTGGTCCTGCTTATCTTCACTTCATCCTGCAGATGGGAGCATGGCTCCAGGGGGGCATGGTGAGTCCAGACTCACTCAGTCTCTAATGCCTACACCTCTCTCTCCTCTTCCTTGGGCCACAGTGAAGGTGCAGAGGAGTGAGCAGCCACACCGCTGGGACCCCTGCGTGTTCTCCTGTCACAGCCCCCGGCCCGGCCACTGCAGGACACCCACCTGGGCCACACCTGCTGGCCAGGACCAGAGCCGATGTAATGTGCCCACCTCACTGGGGCTTGTGCATGTTTCATAGGGGAGGAAACCAAGACTCCGAGAAATTAGGAGGTCTGCCTGGCATCACATAGCACATTAGTGATGAGATGGGCCCCTACCCCTGGCAGCTGGGTTTCACCCAGCTGTGAAAACCCTGCGGTCTTTGAGGCCCAGAGTGGGCAAGACCTGCCTGAGGTCACATAAGCAGTGTTTGAGGTGAAAGGGGAAAGGTGTCCCAGTGTCTCTCTGTGATGGGGTGGTTGCCTGGTATCCACTGTGTGGCAGGGCGGAGGGCCCTTCCGGGGTTCACAGGGATGTGCTCTCATCTCCTCAGCCTTGTCCTCGACTCCCTTTTCCTCGCCGACCATGAATCATGCCTTTCCCTGCACCAACCCCAGCACTCTTCCCCGTGGATCCCACCCCATGAGCCCCCAGACCACAATGGGAAGGAGGAGGCAGCGAAGAAGGGAACACAAGAGCTCGTGTAAGTAAGCCATGGTCTCCTCCCTCCACTTTGGGCTGCCTGTATAGCTGAGAGCTTTGCCAAAGGATGGGGATATTTGGGATAGGGTCCCAGGTGTGTGTGTAGAGTCATTAAACAGCATGAGTGGCCCACCAGGCTGCCATGGATGCTGTGCAGGTTGTACACAGCACAAGGATGCACCTGAGGGATGTCAGTCACTTTGTATATTTTAGTTTTGTATTTTGATTTTAGAAAATTCCCAGACGGTGATGGCAGAGTGTCTCAAGGAAAGGATACCTTTTCAGATGTGCATAAAGCTGTCACAGTAACTCCATTTCATTTTCTTTCATTCAGTGATTCATTCTGATCCATTCAAGGAGAAAGTCTGAGTGTGGTGTGGCTGTGTCTGTACCGCCCCTCTGACATTTTTTAATTTCCCCTAAGACAAAGACATGTAGAACTGAGACTAGCCATCCAGGATGTAATAGATTGTAATAATTTTCATTTTTATTATATGTGTGTGTGTATACATGTACACACATATATATACACACAAACATATATTTCTACTTCCCTTTTGTATATATAAGGCATTTCTCTTTATTTATGATCACTATGTATACAGTTCCCTTTTGAAATGAAGGTATTTAAGTATTTTAAAAAGTGAATAAATGGAAGACAAATAATAGTGAATGATAATGCAGGAGACCTGTGGAGGTAGCAAAAATCACAAGAATGCCAAGATTTTTGAAGTCTTCCCTGGGAAAAGTCCTTCCTTTGCTGATGTAGAAAGTTTATCCAGCCTCGTACCAGGTGAGCTGCGGAGGCCCCCAGGAAAGATGAAAGGCCAAACTGGGCCATTTGGAAGTGAGCCAAAAGAAGGAAAAGAGGAGTATTAAATCACCTGGCACCTGAAATATGGTTATGAGCTTCCTGGAAGCCAGGGTGAAAAGGGAAACAGATTTCAGACTCAGATGAGAGGTAAAATATGCCTTTACCAACCACCTTTGTCAACCACCAAAGCTGGGAGTGTATAGGTGAAAAGATTCAGAAATGCTGTTCATAGGCAGAGGCATAGGGAGGCTGGGGGCTCTTGGGACCATTTATCTGTCCTTTTCCTAGGATAGATGAGTAATAAAATGTTATCATTATTATTATTGATGATAATTATTTAATTAAAAAATCTGAACACCTCCTATGTACCAGGCACCATTCTTATTATTAGGGATGTAACAGTGAAAATATAATAAATACAAATATAATAATACAACATATGCAACAACATATAGTATATTACACATATTGTAATGTGTAATATAAAGTATAACAAAATAGTAATAAAGATATAATAGTTTAATATAATTAGAAGTAGAATTAATATGATAAATTATATTTAATAAATGATATCTAATGTCCATGTTAATAATACAAATGTATTTCATATACAGAATGTAAAACAATATACATTAAGTAACATAATATATCAAATAGAAAAGTTTTCATATGACCCAGCAATTCCATATCTAGGTATATGCCCAGGAGAAATGAAGACATATGTCATGTTCAACCAAAAACTTACACATGAATATTCATAGCAGCATTATTCATTTTCACCAAAAGGTGCAAACAACCCAGATGTCCATTAAGAGATGAATGCATAAACAAAATGTGTTGTATTCATACAATGAGATATTGGGCCATAAAAAAGCACGAATTCCAGATACATGCTACAATATGGATAAACCTTGAAAACATGCTTCATGAAAGAAGCCAGAAACAAAAGGCCACAGATAATAGGATTCCATTTAGGTGGAATGTCCAGAAGAGGCGAATCTATACAGAAGCAAATAGGTTAGTAGTCGCTTAGGGCTGGGAGAGTTGGGAGGATTTGGGCCAATAACCGACAGGGTTTCTTTTTGAGGTGATGAAAGTGTTCTCCAAATGTGCTGGTGGTTGCACAACATTGTTCATATACTAAAAAAAAAAAAAAAAAAAAGCACTGAAGTGTACACTTTAAAATGGTGAATACTAGGCTGGGTGAATTATATCTCAAAGCTGTCTTCAAAATTAACGTGCCATGGGCTGTGGTATTAGAAGAGTGTTACAACGAAGCTAACAGCACGTGCCAGTGCACCCCTCAGAAACTCTGTTTCACGACGTGGCAGTCCCAGGAGTTGGTGTCCTTCATCCTTGTCACAGGCCTGCTGGGTAGGGACTGGCCCAGGGCAGAGCGTGTGTCAGGATACTCTGTGACTCTGCCGGCCGAGGGAGGAGACAGGGCCCGCACTCACTCGCCCCTCTGACTCCAGGTCCTTAAGCCTGGGCTTGGGTTGGTGCTGGCAGGAAGCGCTCTCTCAGCACTCTCAGGTGGGACTGCCCATCTGAGAGCCATGCCCGCCTGTCCCACAGTGTCACTGGCCTCCAGTACGGTAGGGCCTGGGGGACAGATCGTGCACACGGAGACCACGGAGGTCGTGCTCTGCGGAGACCCCCTCAGCGGCTTTGGCCTCCAGCTCCAGGGAGGCATCTTCGCCACCGAGACCCTGTCATCCCCTCCCCTTGTGCGCTTCATTGAGCCTGACAGCCCGGCAGAGAGGTGAGCCAGCGGCCCTCGCCCCGCTGGGCCTGCCACCCTCCAATTCAGGAGGCTCACGGACAGCCAGGGGAACTGAGTCCCATGGCAAGCCTGGCTTCACGAGGGTCCCCCACTTAATCACCCCACCCATTGCATCACCAGCCCCACTTTACAGCTGAGGAAACTGAGGTGCTGAGACGCTGATTCATTTGCCCAGGGTCACACAACTCATGAGTGACCCAGGACTTGAACCCCTGTCTGTCTGAAGTCAGGGTCCCTATATACATATCTCATAAGGCACCTGTCCTCCCCCTTGGACAGACAACTGAGGCCCACAGATTTCACTCTCTTAGCCAGAGTCACCAGGTAGATTGCCTGGGGCTCTATAATGGGCCCACAGCCGAGCTGTTAGTCAGACCCCAGCCCCGCCCCCACATGGCATTCCCGTGTCCCAGGATTGGCAGTGATGGTAACAGAGTGGCTTCTCTCTGCGGGGCTGCCGGGGGTTCAGGTGTGGGCTGCTGCAGGTGGGGGATCGGGTCCTGTCCATCAACGGTATTGCCACCGAGGACGGGACAATGGAGGAAGCCAACCAGCTGCTGCGGAATGCGGCGCTGGCCCACAAGGTCGTGTTGGAGGTCGAGTTTGACGTGGCAGGTGAGTGAGGGCCCCTACCTTCCTCCTCACGCTTTGGGATCCTGTGCTCCCTCCTCCCTTTATCCTGCTCCTGCCTGGGGATATCCATGTTCTTTCAGCCCCATCCCACTCCCGCCTGATGACCTTCTCCAAGAGCACTTGTGGCATGTGCCTGAACACCAGTGGTGGCAGGGAAGGAGGGGAGGCAGGAATCCCACACGCCAGCCTGAGGGCTGGTGAGGGATTTTTGTGCCAAAACATGACCTAAGGGAGGGCAGAGAGGGGCTGAAAATATTCCATGTCCCTCGGCAGGCCTTAGGCAAAGAACCCCAAACACAAACTCAGGTTAGAACTCTGGTCTTGTGATTTGGACATTTTGTGACTTTGGACAGGACTCTCTTGCCCCCCACCCACCCTCAGTTTCCCCAACTATGAAACAGTGACTAGTCCTACTAGTCACTACAGTGAATATTGTTTGGATTAGATGAGCTCAATCATGTAAAAACACCCTGCCTGGTACATTGTAGGTGCTCAGTAAATTGTTGGGGCTGTGAACTGGGTTGGGTTTTGCTCTGGGGAAACCCCTGGCTGGCATTCCTGGGGTCTAAGTGCCAGCCCCAAATCTGCTCTGATCGGATAGGTTGTCTGAGACAAAGGTCAGCTCACCATGCCTCAGTTCCCTCCTCTGTCAGGTGGAAGAAGCAGGATGGGGTTGGGGCAGTGACTTTGCAGTCTCTCCCAGCTGGCCTAGAATGGGTGGGAAGCTGGGACTCCCTGCATCTCCTTCCTTGGGTCTCACACATGTCCACATGTGTTTGCACGCAGAGTCCGTCATCCCGAGCAGTGGCACCTTCCACGTGAAGCTGCCCAAGAGGCGTGGTGTGGAGTTGGGCATCACCATCGGCTGTGAGTCCCTCCCCGCCATTCAGTCCCTGCCCCGAGTGAGCCGTCTGCTGGGGGAAATTGCACACCTCCAGCTCAGAGGAGAAGGGGATGCTCCTGGTGGGAAGGCTGGCTTGAGTTCCTCTGCCTGCAGTGCTCCACTGTGTGTTCTCGGGTGACACCCCCTAGTTGCTGGAAGCCTCAGTTTCCTATTCTGCACAATGGGAGTCTCCTGACCAGCTGGGACTTCTGGTGGGATTAAGTGGTTTGTAAGGCACCAACCATGTGGGTCAGGTCTGTGAAATGATCCTCGGTCCCCACCATGGGCTTGACAGAGAGCAGCTATCTAAAAGCGCTGCTGCTGCAGCTCCTTCCTACCCCAAACTCCACTCAATGTAGATGGGAGTTTAAACTCTGGATAGGGCTGCCAGATACAGTTGCACAGGTTGTACATGACACAAGGGTGCCCATTTGAGGTGGGCTTAACAATTTTATTACATCATTTCCTCAATGGACTAATTAGAAGGGATGTCCTTGTCTCATCTGCAAAGATGCCACATGGGCTAGAAGGGGCTCCTACCATCTGTTCACTAATGGGAAAACCCATTAGCCTAGATGGATTTTTTTTTTTTTTCTCAAGAAAATGTAGTTACTCATACAACCCATTGTCTTAGGTCACATTCCCCCAGAAAGAGCTTCTTAAAGAGTTACATTCAGGGGGGTTATCAAGAAGGGCTCTTGGAATCAGCACCTGTGTGAGGTGAGGGATGGGGACTGGGCAGACGGAGATGGTGGTTGTGATGCCACCAGTCCCATGGAGAGCTCTAGGGCCGGGAAGGCTTTGGAAGTTGTCCTGAATGAGGCTGGGAGCCAGGCCTTTGCACCACCGTGTGGACCAGGCCACATCCAGGAGCTGTACAACCTTGGCTGAGGCTGCTCTCGCCAAAGGCAATACCCAGAGAGGGAGCCCTGTGGGAGCTGTTCAACCAGCAATTCCTGCTGCTGGGAGAAGGGAAGACTCAACTGTGGATGGGTCTGGGGCCCACCCTGTGCTAGTTGGGAGTGCCAGCCACACACTGCACCTGAAGGGGCTTACAGTTTTGCTGGGGGATGGCCTGAACAGAAGGGAAAAGGGCTGATGTGGAAGCAGCAGCTTCTATGTGTCGGGATCCACATTAGGTTTTGCCTTGTCTGGTTTAATCTCTTGACATCTCCATGAGTTCTCTGGCATCATCCCCGTTTGTGGAGGGGGAACTGAGGCAGAAGGGGGGCTGATTTGCTCACGGTCACCAGGCAGGAAACAGTGGGAACATGGCACGTGGCTTAGTATTCGGGCCCCAACTCCTGGGCCCTCCCAACCCCACTCCTCGAGGCTGAGGCCATCAAAGGTTGGATTCATAGCTTCTTCTCCCCCCCCTCCCACCCACCCCCTGCCCCAGCGACCAGCAGGAAGCGAGGAGAGCCCCTGATCATTTCTGACATCAAGAAGGGCAGTGTGGCACACAGGTAGGAGTGGCCCTGGGTACAGGGTAAGGGGAGCAGTCCAGGGGGAGTGCCACGTGCCAGGTTCTTTGCGTCTCCCACCCCTGCTCCAACAGGACCGGCACCCTCGAGCCGGGAGACAAGCTGCTGGCTATCGACAACATCCGCTTGGACAACTGCCCTATGGAGGATGCTGTGCAAATCTTGCGGCAATGCGAGGACCTGGTGAAGCTGAAGATCCGGAAGGATGAGGACAACTCTGGTATGGCCACCACCCAGCCCTGCCACCTCTCTCAGTCCTCACACTGGAGCAGTGGGCTCCAGTTTTCAGTTCGGGGCTCCCTCTGGCCAAGGAGGGTGGTTGCTAGGCTGCTGGGGGAGACTCTTTGAATGAGCAGATGCAAGGAGGGAGCCCCGCACCAACATCTCACTGTTTCTGGGGCAGCCTGGACCCTCTGCAGCCAGCCCAAAGCCTAGCGGAGGAGGCCCACAGGGGGCAGCAGTGAGCAGAGGGGTGGGTGGGGCAGGGACGGGGCGGGGGGAGTGTGGGGGCCATGCGTGAGTGAAGAAGTAAAGGCTGTCGACTCTGACACCTCTGAGATCAGACAGTTGACAGGAGTGGCCTGGACAGGGGTAAGAAAAAAATGATGCAGTTTGGGCAGGCAGTAGGGAAGGGTGAGGCTTGTGGCCCCTGGAGAGCCAGTCCGTTATTCAGAGGGTCAGCTGCCAACTCCTGCCCTGGGAAGGATGGTCTCTTGTGGGCAGATTCTTCTTCTTCATCTTTTTTTAAAGAAAGCCAAAGTCTGGTTTCTTCTTATCCTCTTGATTAATTATTTTGTGTCTGGGGTGAAGTCTATAGTTTAGAATGTTGGCTTCACGATCCTTTTCTTCTTTTTTCCATGGGGTTTGGGTGCAAGAAAACATTTGTGGAGGCAGAGGTAGCCTCAGGGTCCCTGGGCAGTGCCATCTGAAGTCATGGCACGAGTAGATAGATGAGTGAATGGATGAATTTGCGGGAGTAATTTCACCAGGGCACTGGGGACTGGGGGGGTCGAGCTCCAGGGTCCTGCCCCGCTGCACCCCACCTGATGGGTGCCGCCTTTGCAGATGAGCAAGAGACCACAGGTGCCATCAGCTACACAGTGGAGCTGAAACGCTACGGGGGTCCCCTGGGCATCACCATCTCGGGCACAGAGGAGCCTTTTGACCCCATTGTCATCTCAGGCCTCACCAAACGTGGTCTGGCTGAGAGGTGAGCTGGGGTCCTGTGGGATACACGGGGACCGTCACAAGGCAGGGGTTGGACTCTGGGAACAGCCGAAGTGGATTCTGACATCGGTTCCAAAGTCGATGTCCTTGGTGGCATCAGGCTTGTCCCTTCTCTCTCTGAGCCTCAGTTCCACAGAGGCAGACCAGCCCCTTTCTGGCAGACCTGCCTCCCAATCTGGAGATTCAGCATTTCTAGAAAGTCAGCATGGTGAGCCTTTTTGGAGCGCCTGCTGTGTGCCTTCAGTCCTGGCACAGCCTGGAGCTTTTCTGGAGGCATTAGGGGCCTCCCTGCTGTCCTCTCGTCTGGGGAAGCTGTGAGAAGAGGGTGTCCCAGGCGTCCAGACTGGGGGGAGCAGGTGAATCTGGGCCCTGGAGGTGGAACAGGGCCCCACAGGGGTCATAGGGAGGCCAGGCCTGGGGTGGGGAGACAGGCTGGGCCCCTGGAGAAGGAAAGAAGGCTGGCTGCAGCAAGAGGATTTGAGCGGGCAGGGAGTGGGGAGGAACGCTGAGCATCGGTGAAGGGCTCCCTGTTCCTGGAGCGCCCCCTGCTGGTCCACTGCGGAGACTAGTGTGGTCGTTTCCTATCTCAAGTGCAGTCATCCACTCCCACTTTGCCTGGGTACCTCCCATGTGCCAACCAGTTCTGGGTCCCGAGGACACGACAGTCTCCCCTCACCGGGCTGATCTAGCTCAGTGCTGACCAATTGCAATGTAATGCGATCCCCACATTTCAGTATAAACTTTCTGGTGGCCATATTAGAAAAATAAAAGGAAACAAATAATATGAATCCTAAATACATATTTATTTCAACATGTGTAGTCAATATATAAATTATTAACGAGAGTGTTTTACATTCTTTTTTTTTCTTCATGTTTTGTTTTCAGAACCCGTTGTGTATTTTTTATAGTCAAGTCATCTCAGTTTGGGCTAGCCACGTTTCGGGACCCAGTAGCCACATGGAACAGATAGCTCTGACCTTCCGCACTCAGCCCACCATCTCCCCCAACTTATGCCCCCGGGCCCCTGGGGATCTGGGTGGGCAAAGCCAGGCACGGTTCCAGAACCTAAATTTAGAGCCAGGCAGAATCATCCCCTCCCTCCCAAATTCTAGACTTAATTTTTTTTTAAATTTTTCATTTTTTAGAGAGGGAGAGAGTGGGGAGAGGGGCAGAGGGAGAGGGAGAATCTTAAGCAGACTCCATGCCCAGCATGGAGCCCAATGCGGGGCTCAATCTCACAACCCTGAGATCATGAGCTGAGTTGAAATCGACAATCGAACGCTTCGCTGGCTGAGCCACCCCTGCATCCCCCAAATTCTAGACTTTTTACCTCTATGAATGCTACCCTAGATGACACTTGCTTTCTGTTACAGCTGGGTTTAACTGAGGTCCATCAGGCTTGTGCCTGGGGGTTCCCGAGTTCCCCGAAGCCTTGAATGTCTCTCATTCTCTGTCCTATGCCCCCCTCCCCAGGACTGGCGCTATCCATGTTGGGGATCGTATCCTGGCCATCAACAGTGTTAGCCTCAAGGGCCGGCCTCTGAGTGAGGCCATCCATCTCCTGCAGGTGGCTGGCGAGACTGTCACCCTGAAGATCAAGAAGCAGCTAGACCGTGAGCCTCCCCCTCCTGCCCCTGGGGCCGTCCACCCTTTTAGGAAGGGAAATCTCTCTGTACCAGGTTCATGTGCCCAACCTCATGGCATCCTCACCAGATCCTATGGAGCTGGGAAGACACCTGGGACAGCTGAGGAGACCAGACTCAGAGAGGGGAGGGGTGGCCCCAAGGTCACAGCTTGTGTAGGGCAGAGTCTGGGTCTGAACCACTCTCTCCATCACCGCCTGCCTCTCAAGGCTGCTTGTTCTGCCTTAGGGTTGTAGCCTGTACATTCCTCAGTTTCCCCTGAATTTGAGCCCTGTACCTTGGCAGGGAGGCCACCAGCTGCAGTGGAAGGAGCCTGAGATTTCGGGCCTTCCCTCTAATCTGGGCTCCACTGTTGTTCACCATGTGACCTTGGGTGTGTTGTGCAGACCCAGAGCCTCAGGGGCTCCCCAGGGCCCAGTGCAGAGAACTGAGCCTCAGTTTTCCTGTCTGTGAAATGGTTTTGCCCATTAGTGTGCCCCTCCCCTTCTATCAGATTGCTCAGCAGCAGGCTCAGGGGTGGGGGTAGGGGGGCTCGGTGCCTGTGAGACAAACCAGACAGAAGTGGGGAAGCTGAGGCTCACTGAGTGTCTCTGTGTCTCTGAGGTCAGAGGCCAGTGGTGGTGACACCCCCTTTTTGTCCCAGGCCCCCTCCCACGACGCAAGTCGGGCAGCCTCAGCGAGGCCAGTGATGCAGATGAGGACCCACCTGAGGCACTCAAAGGAGGCCTGCTGGCAGCCCGGTTCTCAACTGCTGTGCCCAGCGTGGATAGCGCTGTAGAGTCCTGGGACAGCTCGGCCACAGAGGGTGGATTTGGGGGCCCAGGTAATGCCTTGGGGCCCCAGGACCAGCGACATGCTCTCTCTGGACCACCCCAGCTGCCACACGTTGGCAGGGGCTGTTCTCTCTGCCTCATTCTCTCTCCTCCTCTCCCTGCTTCATCCTTCAGGGACACTTCCAGAAGGCAGACCCCGCCCCCACCAAGGCCCCATTGTCCATTCTCAGGGCCCCTCACTGCTCAGAGCATGGAACTCAGGCCTTTACACATCTTTTGATTGACATCCATAGCCCCGTGGAGTTCCCCACCTTGAGGTTAAGGACCAAGTTGGTCTTACTTTCGTCTTTCTCATTCCTAGCCCCAGTGCTCTGTACACAGCAGGTGCCCAAGCAATGTTTATTGCACCCAGTTGAAGATGGGAAGGTTGAAAGCCCCTCCCCACCCTGTCCCACAAGACCAGTCTTAAGATGGACACGTCCAGGCTGCCCTCTGAGGCCATAAGCCCCTCCCCCATGCGTGTGGAGACCCATGGGTGGCCTCGGGGTTTGGGGGGCATTTGACCCCAACAGCTGGCCTTCTGGCCTCTCTAAGGCCCAGCTCAGAGAACTAGTGGAGCAAGGCCTCTAAGTGGCCTTGGGTGGCTCCCAGCACTGGGCTCACCAGTAGTATATTTGCCTTCCCTGGGTCTCTGCTTCCCCATGTCTTGTCCTTGGTCAGCATCTCTTAGCTTACTTCTGGGGCAGGGTCTTGAGAGCTCCCAAAGGCAGGCAGAGAGGAATGGTTTAAATAGTAAACCTCCTCCCCAGGCAGGAGGCAGCCAGGCTAAGCCCAATGGAGCCGGGACAGGGACTTGGAGCCCTGGCCATTAACTCTTCTGCTGGGTGATCAGGAGTTCCAGGGGGTTCTGGGGGTAGAGACTATGTGGCAAGGCACTCAGGGGACTCTGGGTAGTCACGTCAGGCGAGAGGGGGCAAAGACCTATCCAGGGTCATCCAGCACAGCTGGAAAAGGGGCGGGAAGGAAGGTAAGTTACAGACATCTCCCTCTCCACCTGGCAGGCTCCTACACTCCACAGACGGTGGCTCGGGGCGTGACCCCCCAGGAGTGGCGGCCCAGCCGGCTGAGAAGCAGCCCCCCACCCACTGAACCCCGGAGGACGAGCTATACCCCGGCCCCCACGGATGAGAGCTTCCCCGAGGAGGAGGAAGAGGAGGACTGGGAGCCACCAACTAGGTCTGTGGTGGGAAGGCCATGAGGGAGGAGGCAGTCATGGTCTCCTGGCTCAGTTGGGTTGAGGGTCCCTGTGCCACAGTGGTGGGGACAGTGGAGAGTCTTGTCTGGCTCCCGAGGAGGGGTGCCTCCCAGGAGAGCAGAGGGGACATCAGGCAGTGTTGCCTTGGCCAGGCTGAGATGGGGATGAGGGTGCCCTAGGGAGAGGGCACAGCAGTGGCAAAGGCATGGAAGGTGTTTGCCTTTCCAGAGTCTGGTGATCTCCTATTCTCAGATGAACAGCTCAGAACTTGAACCTGACCCTTTTGACTTAGCCCAGATGGCTTGATGGCCTCCTGCAAAGGCCCTTGGGTTCCAAACACCCGCCCTGGCCATGGATGTGGTTTGGTAGCATTGGCTTTGAAGGACACCGCATGACCCCCAGGGGCGACTCCTGCCAAGAGCAGGCCCTATGGAGAAACGCTGTTTCTCATCCAGCCTCAGCCACCCCTCCTGTGCCTGTGCTTTGGATTGGGTACTTCCTTCTGCCTCTAGTGCCTTTCCCTTTCTCTTCCTGGCCAAGGCCTCTGCAGCCTTGGAAACCCAGCTTATGTTCCCCTGCCTCCAGGAGGCTCCCCTGACTTTCCCAGGCTCAAGGCAACCCTCTCTCCGCTGGCCCCCAGCCGCTCCTGTGAGCCTCCTCCTGGCACTGGCTGCCTTGTGTGCACCTGGTTAATGACCTGGCTGTTGTCCCTTCTGGGTAGGGCTCCTAGCTGGGTGCCTCGATTTTAGAGCTGATGACGGGCTTGTACAGTGGAAGCCATGGGGTGGCCTGGACCCTTCCCCAAGCACAGATACACCATCCTCTCCATCCATCTGTGTCCTCGCTGGTTCCAGCTCTGTCCCTGTCACTGTGCTACAATGCCGTGTGTCTGGGTGGGGCCAGGGCCCATCCTCTGGGGCTACACCATGGATCTCCTCTCTGTCTGTCCGTCCGTCTGTCTCTCTTCCCAGGCGTCCTGTGTCACCGCTCTCCACCCCGTCTCATCTGCCCCTGTTCTAACTGGCCACCGACAGTCCTGGTCGCCCCTAACTGCGTCTTCTTCCCCCCATTCCGTGTCACCAACCACTGCCCTGGGGCCCCAGCACTGCCACCGAGGACGCCTGCCCGCCTGCCTGCCCGCCCGCCCGCCCGCCCGCCCACCCTAAGGCCCTTCGAGCCCAACGCTGGGCCCCGGGGCCCCGAAGACTCCTCAGGCCCCAACCCGCCTGCCCGCCCACCTGCCCACCAGGAGTTGACCCTCTCTGGTTCCTACATTACAGCCCAGCCCCTGGCCCTGCCCGTGAGGAGGGCTTCTGGCGCATGTTTGGGGAAGCGCTCGAAGACCTGGAGTCATGTGGTCAGTCAGAGCTGCTGAGGGAACTGGAGGTAGGGCCACCCACCCCACAGACCTTCCTAGGGACCCCCTGTGCATGGACACTACCGATGTGCGTGCCTTTGGAAACACGCATGTTGATGGGATCCTGCTCGTGTGTGGTGTGCACCACGCACTCACTCGGCACCCCCCCGTGTAAGGGTGTCTTCACACACATGCAGGCTGTGCATGGACACATATACAGGTGTGATGGAGAGCACTGGCATGGTGCATGGAGGTGTGTGCACATGCAGACGTGTGTGCAGCAGGGGCATGCGTGTGTGCGTGCATGTGGCCATGCTCGTGTATGCACAGATGCGGAGGGTATTTTCAGAGCAGATGTGTGTGAGCGCACGTTTGGATGCCGAGGGGCGGTTTTGGAGTCTGTGTGCAGGTACAGCCTGGGGATGTGGTTGTGGGCGTGCCCTGTGGAAGCACGTGGGTGTCAGTGTCAGGGACAGCACAGGGGATGAGGGCTCGGGGGAACTGAGAAGTGAATACAGCTTTGTGCGAGGTCAGCACGGCCCATGGTGGAACAGGCTGCCCGGAAAGGTCTAGGAAGGATCCCGCTGGGTCATTTCAGAAACTCCTTCATGCTCTGAGAACATTAATTTAAACTTTCGCTTTATCTGTGCTTTTGCCCCTTAAATTGTTGATTTTTTCCTCCATCGGTCTTACAAATCACGAGGCTCCTCGAAGAACTGATTTTGGGCTTTGTTAATTCTCTCATGTGTTTCATTGTTTTCTGTCTTACTCATTTCTGTGTTTAGCTTCTTCTTCATTTGTGTTTACATATGTTTTCTACCATAGTGCATCCTAAGCTATGATTTTAGCCACAGACACTGCTTTGGCTGGATTCCACAAATTTTGATTGTGATGCTTTTCTGGATCATTCAATTCCAAATATTTCAAAAATTTTTATTATGATTTTAGTTAAGCCCTTGAATGACACAGAAGTGGAGAGTTTTATTTTTTATTTAATTTATTTTTTTCAAAGATTTTATTTATTTATTTAACAGATCACAAGTAGGCAGAGAGGCAGGCAGAGAGAGGAAGGGAAGCAGTCTCCCCGCTGATCACAAAGCCCCATGTGGGGCTCGATCCCAGGACCCTAGGACCACGACCAAAGCTGAAGGCAGAAGCTTTAACCCACTGAGCCACCCAGGCGCCCCGAGTTTTGTTTTTTAAATCCAAATTTTAAAACCAATTCATACTGGGTTTTAGTTCATATGTACTATGGCCAGAGAATGTGTTCCATATGCTTTGAATTCTTTGGCATTTGTTGAGACTTCTTTGTGGCCCAGTGTGTGATCAGTTTTAGTAAACATTTCATGTATGCCTACAAAACAATGCAAATTCCCTTTTTTTGGGTGTAGGGTTTTCTGTAGATCAAGATTGTTCATACACTTGTTCAGATCTGCATTCTTATGAAATGTTATATGGTTTATTTATCTTTATCTTTTTTGGTTGATGGTATGATAAAATTATAATGAGTGGAGATTCGGCAAGTTCTTGACATTTTGTCATTTTTGTTTTCTGTTCTTTGAGGTTATATTGCTAGTTTCATATAAATTCATGCTTGCTGGAACTTCTTGGTGAATTTTTCTTTTTATTATTCATCAGTATCTCTATCCCTATGTACTTTCCACTTTAAATTCCATTTTCCCCCATAACAATATGGAATAACAAAATTACTGTTACTAAGTGTGTACATTTATCATTTTAAACATATCTGTTTTATGCTGTATGTAGCTGATTTTCCCCCAATCCGAGAACCTTTCTCTTTTTAAAGATTAGTTCATTTATATTTATTATGATTACTAATATAATTAAACTTAATTCTAGCATATAATTTGTACTTTCTATGTATCCCACTTTCTCTGTATTTCTAATCTACTATCTTTCCTTTTCTAGTATTGATAAATTTCTTATTCCTCTTTACTCTCTCCACCACCAAAACAGTCATTTTTATAATTTTTATTCTTCTAGTGATTATCCTTAATTCATTTATTTTAATAATCAATTTTTAAATTTAAAATATTTTATTATTACAGAAGCCATATATGTGGATGGTGCAAAATTAGATAAATGAGATAAAATCAAAACTAAAATAAGCAAAATAAAATATAAGAACACAACATTCCCACCACACATAGATCATGACTGTTACTGCTTCAGTGAGAGTATATGTATTTTTAGGATAGTGAAACCATGATGTACACGCTACAGCTACTCCATTTCTTTCCATACATAGAAGTAACTATCTAATATGTTTTCATCTCTTTTAATACCAAGGCCATATGTAGATTTTCACAGTTGACCCCAAATTTCCCTTTACACCTGGTCTGGCTAAACCAGCGCCCAGTCCATGCTTGGCACCTCGTTGTTATGCCTTTTCAGTCTCTCTTAATTTTAGTCCAGCACCTTCTTAATGATGCTAATTTGAAAATTTTGTTTATTAAGATAAAATTCGCATAACTTAAAATTTACCATGTTAAAGCGTAAATTGAATGTTAAAAGTAAAAAGGATGAATTAAGGAGAATCACGAATACCATGTATTCACGATGTTGCATTTACACAACCAGAACATCCCCAAAAGAAACATTTCTAACATCCCCAAAAGAAACCCCACATGTCCCAGCCACTGTCTGCTTTTTGTCTCTGTGGATTTGCCTGTTCTGGATATTTCTTATAAATCAGGTCATGCAGTATGTGGCCTTTCATGTCTGACTTTTTTCATTTAGCTTGATGTTGTAGAATGTATAAGTTCTTCCTGCCTTTTATGGCCAAATAATATTCCATTCTATGGACAGACTAACTTTTTGAAAAGATCAGGTGCATTTGACTTTTTCTAGCAAAGTTGAGTCAATGCCTTTGCCCCCTCTCCTTAATGAGACAGGGCCTGTAGAATGCTCCCGTTTCCCTCTAAACTCTCTCCTCTTGTCTCCCTGCTTGTTTATAAATTGCTCAGCTAGTTCATGTGGAGTTCTAGTCAGTACTCATTCGGGTTGAAGGCAATTAACTTCTTTGCTCACTGTTGCTTCTTGCATTCTTCTTGCTTCTGAGTTCATCCTTTAAGATCTTTAAATGAGACTCTTGGAGTGGTAAACTCTTTGCGGTTTCATGTGTGATTTTATCTTATTTATTTTTATGATAAGCAAGGTAGCAGAGTGGTTAAGATCCTTGACTTTGAAACCAGATTCTGATTTCAAATCATAATATCTCTTAGCCTGGGTTTTCTTACCTGTACAATGGACCCCCCACCCCCCACCCCACTGCCGCCAAAATGGTATTTGCCTGTCTGGTAGTATTGTAGAGAACAAAATGGGTTCTGTGTGCATGGTGAGTAGAACTGAGCTCAGAACAGAGTAAGCGTTACTCATTCAGGGCCAACAATTAGTATTCTGATTGTGGGTGTGATCGAGGATCCCCCTCCCCCTGCCCACGCTCAGACCACGAGCCCCAGGAGGGCAGGGACCCTGTCAATGCTGGGCACCGCTGTGACTTTGAAGGCCAACACAGAGTAGTTGTCCACAGATGCTGACTGCAAACAGCAGGCAAACAGGCATCCCCACGAAGGACTGTGTATCCGCAGGCATCCATCATGACGGGCACGGTGCAGAGTGTGGCCCTCGAGGGCAGACCCAGCCACCAGCCCTGGCAGAGGGGCCAGGAGGTACAAGCGTCCCCTGAAGAGATGCAGGAGCTGTTGCTGCCGACACCCTTAGAGATGCACAAGGTGGGCGCTGGGGCTGGGCGCGGGGTATACATATATACACCACTTCCTTAAAGGAGAAGCCAGCTTCCCTTGCCACCTGTGGGTTACTATATAGAAAAACAAACGGAGGGGCGCCTGGGTGGCTCAGTGGGTTAAAGCTTCTGCCTTCGGCTCAGGTCATGATCCCAGGGTCCTGGGATCGAGCCCCACATCGGGCTCTCTGCTCAGCAGGGAGCCTGCTTTCCCCTCTCTCTCTCTCTGCCTGCCTCTCCCCCTACTTGTGATCTCTGCCTGTCAAATAAATAAATAAAATCTTAAAAAAAAAAAAAAGAAAGAAAGAAAAACAAATAGAGAAGAAACCTCTCCACCGGTAGCCCTTAGAAGGCTCAGAGCCTCTTGGTAAATTTGAGAGATGAGCAAGTGTTAGAGGGGTCGAAACTTGTCAATACCCCACGGAGACGTTCTCCTGAGGGAAGGGAGAGGACTGAAGAAGAACTGAGAAGGAACCCCTTCCCCAGGTTCCCCACTGTGACTGGTGCCGGGAACCGAAGGGTGTGCTGCCATGGAGAACGACAGGGAGCGCAGCTGGACTGGGGGCTTGGTGTGGGTTCCACACCAAGGGATTTGGGCTGCTGTGGGGAGCTGGGGCAAAGGTCAGATCTCCATGGAATTCCTCCTCCTTCTGCTCCCAGGTGACCCTGCACAAGGACCCCTTGCGGAATGACTTTGGTTTTAGTGTCTCTGACGGCCTCCTGGAGAAGGGTGTCTATGTCCATACTGTGCGCCCTGATGGGCCAGCCCAACGTGGGGGCCTCCGGCCCTTCGACAGGGTCCTTCAGGTAATGCTGGGCTGGGGGCACCATAGATAGTGTGACCTTTCCTCGCCTCCTGTGGAAGGAGCCCCACTTCTACCCTGGCTGAGTGGCCTTAGGCACGTCACCTTTTCTCCCTGAGCCTCAGCTTCCTCCAATGTGAAGGGAATGACAACAGTCCTATGGTCAGGTTAGGCTCTGTTACGTTACAGTAACAGCCAGCCCCGAATCTTAGTGTCGTAACACACAAACATTCATTTGTCCACTGGGGGCCGACATGGGCTTGCTCTACCAGGCTGGTGGGGGCTCTACCCTCCGGCAAATGCCTTCCACCACCTGACATGGGAATGGAGACTGGAAAATCACCCATGGGTTTTTTTCCTGCCTTCACCCAGAAGCAACACCCACCACTCCCCTTCACAGCCTATTGGCCAGAACCAGTCACATGACCCTGCCCCGCTAATGGCAAGGGAGCCTGGGAAATGCACGTGAGCCGAGGGAAAGCTCTGGGACGGTGCTGGTCCCGCCACCCGGTGGTGTTTTTCCCACGCCCCAGCTGCTTTTGTTCCCCTGGTGTGATTTCTGCTATGTTGGTGCTACATTTACCGAATATGTTTTCTTTACGTTGGCGGAGGCTTTCCGACTTGAATTTATTTTGAAAGGAAGCTTTTCGCGTCATTAGGAATGAAAAACCAGCACTCCTTGCTTGACATAGAAGGTCACTGTGAAGTAAAAAGTCAAAGAAGCAAAGCAACGTCACCATTTCTAGGCAGGAAGCTGAGTGTTTGGTTTGCTCTTCCATGTTGAAAAAGGGAGAGGAGTAGGTGTTAGAGGAGTGGGAAGGATGTCCTGGCGCCCCCTTTGGGGTTTCTCTTTGATAAAACCTAACCAAAGGGATTGAGAGAGAGCTCGAAGAAGGAGGACTTCTCTCTGTGTGTTCTAGATGGACCCTGTATCTGGCCTGGGCCTGGGCCCACCCTTGAGGACACCTCATGATTCCTACCTACTTCAGCCCAGGCTCTGCTGATGCCCATCTGTCCCCTTGGCTGTGTTTCCTGCAGGTCAACCACGTTCGCACGCGGGACTTTGACTGCTGCCTGGCTGTGCCGCTCCTGGCGGAGGCAGGCGACGTCCTAGCACTGGTCATCAGCCGCAACCCTCTGGCACAGAGCAGCCGAGCCCCGCGAGCACCGGGCCCCAGCAGCCCCCGGATGCTCTGAAGTCAGCATGTGGTCTGGACACCCCAGGGGCTGCTGGAGTAGATCCTGGCCGCCAGACCTGTAACTGGGCTGGAGACCTGGCCGCTCACTCATCCATCTGTTCATCTGGCAGGCTCTGAGCCACGGACGGAATCTGTCTCTCTTCTCCGGTTCTGTGGTCCCTGCCCTAGTTGGAGTGACATCTAGGTCTTTCTCCATGTTGGGACTCCCAAGATGCCCAGAGGAGCCCCACTCAGTAGGGGTTGAGACAGGCTGCTCAGCTGGGAGAAGAGGAGCCTAGGAGCTAGGGAGCCCAGCTCATTGGGAGTGTTTTCTCCCAGCAGAGCTGTATAGTTGCAGGGGAGAAGTGAGCTCCCTGTCACAGGAGGTGAGCAAATTGGAACTTGATACCCCCGGTGCAGTCATGGACTGAGGTGTGAGGCGTCTGGGCAATGGGTCCACACACGCTCAGGTAGTTAGTTGCCCCACAGGGGGAGCATTTAGGGTGTGGCTGGGGGGGCAATTTTTCTAGACAGCTTCCCACCAAGAGGGATGCCACTCAGGGTGGGAGCCTAGCCCCTTTCCTTCTCCAGAATTCTGGTGTTTGGGGCTTGCTGGCTTCCCCACTTAAGAGGTTCTTGAGCTGGGGTGACTGAAGTCCAGGAAACATCAGCTTATTGATTCTGAAAGTGAGTGATTCATTTCCACTTCTCTGGTCTGAAGCCTCCAGGATTTGAGACCTGCAGTTCTTCGCCCTTTGGGCCAGCTTGGTGTCAGGCTTTGGGCTCTCGGCCCCTCCTGCTTTTGTTGGAGGTGTAGGCACAGATCTATATGAATATACCCCTCTCAGGCCAGGCCCCTCGTGATCTGAGGGAGTCATCTGGGACAGAAGACCTAGGAGTTTTTATTCACCTGCCATTTCAGTGGAGATGGGAAGACCATAGAGGTATCACATGGAAGATGATATATGTCCTCTCCAATCTCCAATCCCATGAAGGAGGAGAGACGCAGAGAGGGAGGCACAGAGGCAAAGGTAGGCAGGTGGGACAGAGATGAGCCATTCTCACACCCAAAGGTGACAGTGTCCAAAGGGTCCATTTAAGAAAGTTTATTCCCACTTGAAATCTGGAACCACCAGCATTCCTTAAAGTCATTGTCCTCATTTTCCACAGACCAGAAACATTTTTGATTTTGAGAAGGGCAGAGGCCTGCACTTGGTGGTCTGGGCTGCAGCCCCAGAGATGGAGGTGGGCAGGCTGGATCCCCAGGTCAGGTCTGGGGATTTGCTTTGCTCTGAATGGGAGTCTCAGGAAAATGGGGCACCAACTCCCACCTGCATCCTCCATGCTTCCATCCTGTGGAGGCCCCCAAATGCTCTTCCACTTGAAGGACAGGATGGGGAGTCAAGAGTCTTGTTCTTTTTGCTCTGGGTTGCAGCTTGGTTGCTCTGTGACCCCCCCCCCCCCGTTGGTATGACCCTCTCTGGACAATCTAGGGGAGGATAGTCTCTGAGCAGGTACGGGCCTCCCTGTCACGGCCAGAACCATGCCCACAGGGCACCCTGCCCACTCTCTCCCCAAGGGCCTGCATTCCCTTGTCTTCTCCCTCCACTTCCCCGCTCCCTGCCTTCCCTGGGGAGCCTTCCATGCCAGGGCTGGACTGCCCATTGCCTCTGCTATTGTGGATTCCTGTGTAAACACCCGCCCCGGGGTGAAAGGGCACTGCCTTCCCCCCCCCAGCATAGGGGCACTGAGCAAAAGCCAAGGGCCCTCAGCTTGGGGGCCTAAGGGTGGCACCACAGAGACATGGTCACTGGAAGCTGCAGCTGTGTGAGCTTGGGCAAGTTGCCCAGCCTCTCTGGGCCTCTGGCAAGGGATGGGGCTGGACTGTCCACACTCCCAGGGCCTCTCAGCTCAGGAGAACTGTGTTTGACTGCAGGTGAGGGAAGCAGTAGCCCCTCCCCGACTGGTGGCCCCCTGCCTCCTCGGGCTGAGGCCTCTGCCATCACCCCCAACGTATGCAACCAGGCCACCAGTGGCCCCTGGCGTGGCCAGCCTTCTCATATGCAATATTTACTCTGGCTTCTCATGGGGATCATAGATCCCAGACTTGACATTCCCCGATGCCCGTCCCCGGTGAGCATCCTGCCTGCCTATGCATTTTGGGTACAGCTCCTGTGACCTGCCCCTTCCATCCCCAAAAGCTGTATTTTTCTCTGGCTGAGATTAGAGCATATTCCTTGTAAAGTATTTTTCTACATGGGGTTTTCTTAGGGCTCTCGGGAAGCACATGCCAAGGGGCTGCATTGCCAAGGCCATTTGGGGTCTGGGGCCCGTGTATAAATCTGTTCTGCAGGGGCTGCAGGGACTTAGGAGCTGGGGGTGGGTGAGGTGCTGTTGGGATGTTTTTTTTTAAATAAAATTATTTAAATGGAACTACACTGTGCTGTCTTTTTTTTTTTCTTTTAAATCATAGGCTGGCCATAGTCAGCTTCGGTTTGGAGGTGATGACATCTTCCCTGCTTTTAATTCATTCATCCATTCTGTAGGTCTCCTTGGGCTCTGCATCATTCCAGCCCCTGGGAAAATGAAAACAACATGAACACGACAGATGAGGCCCTGTCCATATGGGGCTTAGATTCTAATGGCAGACAGTGAACGAGGAAGCAAATTGTAAAGGATTATTTCAGGAGGTAGAGAGTGCAGTGAAGAAAAAAACCAAAAAACCCAGTCATGGGCATAGAGCAGGGGGTTGGGGGGTTGGCGAGAGCTGTAGCTCAGGGGTCAAGAAGGACTTCTCTGAAGAGGTGACATTTGGGGTGAGACCTTAAAGACAGGAGTTCCCTGTCTTTAAGGGGACAGGAAGAACTGTCCCAGGCAGAGAGCACAGCCAAGTGCAAGGGCTCTGAGGTGCGAATGAACTTGGTGGGTTCCAGAAGAGAAAGGGGACCCAGAAGCAGAGTGGGGAGACCAGGTGGGAGGTGTGCAGGGCCCAATGGGAAGGGTTTGGGTGGGGACTGTGGGTTTTATTCTGTCTGCAGGGTGAAGCCAAGGAGGCAGGTGAGTGGCAGGTCTGCTATACAGAGCCCCTTTGGCTTGGGTATGGCCCTATCAATGCCCTGAGTCTTCATAGGGCAGCTGGGGCATGATAAACCCTGAGGTCACGGCCAGGCCTCATCCGGGAACCACAGCTCTGTGTGGGCTGAGGAAGAGCTTCTTCCCATCAACTATGCAGGATGAAGTGAGTGCCCCATCTCCAGAGGTGTGCTAGGATGGCTGGACCACACTGAGTGCAATGATGCCTCTGGGCTAGGGAAGCCAAAAGCGAGTTGCACACAGGGCACAGCTCCTCCTCCTAGAGCTGGGCAACAGGTTCAGGCCCTTCCAAAACGGGAGGGCGGTGTCATTGGAGAGTGACAGTCTGGCCCTCACACCAGCTGCATGCAGGCATGTTCCTGCGTGCTTTTTGAGAATCCTGTGGATCCTCCGACAGCCTTTGGAGGTGGCTCTGTTATCATCCCAATGTTCCAGGTGATGAAAGGAGGCACAGAGGTTAAGTAACTTGCCCTGAGTCACAGGGAGTCAAGGATGGAGCTACGGTTTGACAAAATTATATGGCCAAGGCACATCAGGAGGAGGAAGGTGGACAGAGTCCATCAGAAAGGCCAACAGCCAGCAAAAGAGCTGGGGGAGGGGTATTCTTTTCTAACACCGTCTATAAATAATGAGTTACTGGGAGATCTTTTTTTTTTGTTCATTCAGGAAGTTGGGGAAAGGACCCAGCAGGCTTCCCTGAAGGTGCCCACACTCATCAGTAAAATCACCTGCCCTGTGACCCCCTTGAGGTTGAGCCCTAGTCTATTAACAGTGGGCTGGGTACGTGATTCCCAAAGCAGAGGACATCCGTGCCAACCACTTATTTTCTGGGGTCCTGAGTGTCCTCCCTCCTGACAGCCTCATCAAAACAGAACGCACACGTGTTGGATTTTAAAAAGGAAATGTTTATTTTCATGTTATAAGGTGATTACAAACTCCTCTAAAAAAAAGCAAAGATGAATTTAAAATATCAATATACATATTTATCTAAAAAGCAAAAGAGGAAAAAGGAAAGCCCTGCAAAATACAGGGATTCATATCATAAAACATTTATACACAAAAGCTTGTATACTGCAAGACTGAATTACACATCAAGGATCTTATTCAGATACAAATGTTCCTCCTCAGAAGAGTCTCGTTGGTTGGTTTTTTTTTTTTTTTTTTTACAAAAGTTTAAAATATCTTAAAAATATTTTGAAGTTTTAAAAAAAAGTCCTGATGAGCCAGACATATTTCTGGAAGGAGGCAAGACCCACGTTCTCAGCTTTCTCTTGTGCTAAATACAGAGTCACAGTTGCTAGGGATTCGAAAATTAATTGGGGGTGGGGTTGGGGAGGAGAAAGAAAGAAATGGAGCCAACATCTCAGTTTGAAGCCAGATATATAACAAGATGCTCCATCCCTCGGGGAACTGTCAGAACATGTCTGTAGTGACACCCACAGAAGAACAATGAAGCACAGCTTCCTATTAAAACAAGAGCATTCTGAGGGCCAGGCATTAACAGGGTACTGGGGGTGAGGGAAATGCGATTCTCTGGCTTCCGGGGTGTTCCCGCCCCTCTCTGAGTTTGGTATTTGGGATGTGGTTTGGTTCGTGCTTGTTGAATTTGTGCACAGTGCTATTTACAGGATCCACATGGACAGCCCAGCCTGGGGCTGCCTGACACTGGGTCTCAGGGGCAGATGCGACCTCATGGGACCTCGATGGTTCTCTCGGATCCTTCCTGGCCTGTGTCTGAGGCTTGGGGGAAGGGAGGCACCTCTGCCTTAAGCACTGGCTGCCCAGAGCATTGCCCCATTCAGAAGAGCAGTGTTGGGGAGATGCTGGTTGGGCTCTGGACCTCTGTGTGGTGGCAGCTGGGAAACACAGATCACCCCGTGCTAGGCTGAGGTTGGCTAACTCCCCTAGTGCTTCAGCACCTTCTCTGAGGGGGGTGCACTGGAGATCTAGAGTGAGAATGAGGGCACAGAGGTCCAGAGAGGGGGCTGTGTATCACCCAGAAATCCTCCAGGACCACTTCTTGCTGCCTGGGA